ACATCTATTTATAATCATTATTTTGCTGAGCAAGAAGCCGTTAAGCGTCATGTGATATCAACGTCATTATCATTAACACAAAGAAATTGCTGGTTAGGCTAAAATCAGAAAATGCATCGTGGGTATGAATGAATCTGTTTCTTGATAAAAATTTAATGTGTATGCAAAAATTTTGAGTTTACTTGCGACCTTTGATAATAAACATGTGATAAATTCATTTGTACTTTTGTTTTATTCAATAAATTCAACGCAACACTTGAAATAACACCAATCTTAAAAGTTTTAAAACGTCACAAAACAATTATGTCAAAATGGCCGAGGCTTAACATTACAAAGACTAGTAAACAATAATTTTAAATTTAAAACATGGTAACAAATCAAATTCTTCTGAAGTGACTTAAGTCACTTTACACAAACTTAATCCATCATCATCATCATCATCATCGTCATCATTATATTTTAGGTATGTTTTCATACTTTTCATAATTTTATCATAAACTAGATCTTTAGCGTGTATTCCAAAAACATAATCAATATGATTCCACATTTCGTCTTCAACTTTCCATAAATGTTTCTTGCCATCTGGTAATGACCAATATAAACGTTTGACATCTTTAAGTGATGAAAGATAATCATTACCACTGCAGAATAAATAAATTGGTGCTTTGACATTGCTGAGTTTATAACTAGGCGGGAAATGATCATGATACTTAACCATATTCCCCAGATAACCATAATCATATTGTTCAAAGTTACCACTTTTTACTTCTTGCGAGAAATGTTTAAGTTGTTTTATAGAGCAACCAGCTGGATAATTCGCTAATAAAACCGGAAATAACGTCATATTGAATTCTTTAGGGTTATGACCAGTTACAGAAAATATTTCCCTCGCGCACAATTCTTGTACGAAGTGGGTCGAGCAGAATTTGTGAAAGAAATATTTAAAAATAATATTATTGTGTTTAAGTTCGTGAATGTTGAGTAAATCAACACTGAATTTTATCACTTTTTCAAAATACGTTAACATCCGTAGCATAGGACCAAAAAGATGCGAGACGAAAGCAATTGGTGATAAACTATATTGCGCGATGATTTTATCGTTGTATTCTGGACGTTCTGATAACATAACGTAATAAACAGTGGTTCCTTGTGAATGACCCACGTAGAAAAGACGTTCTTGTTGCGTATGCATCAAAACATGATCAATCATTGCTGGTATATCATAATAACCAATTTCATGAAAGGAAAAATCCCAAAATGCTGAGTCTATATTGGGATCCAATGTGAGATGATCACGTGAGTGTTTATTGCCACGCGCGTTGCCTACCCACACATCATAACCTGCATCGGCAAGAATAAAACCTAAAAATAACAAATTATTTAAATTTTAACAATTTTTAAGGTTATACCAAAAGCTTTTCCTGGTCCTGAAATAAACCAGTCTCCAGAATAAGAAAACATGCCATGTTGTAAGAAAACCACAGGTTTAGTACAATTTTCAGTCGCCATTTTGGATTTTTTTCCGTGTGGAATGTGATGCATTGTTAAAATGTATTTATCTTCAGTTATAACTTCATGAGTTTCACATGGATAACCATAGTATCTAATAAAATCAGCCTGGAAGTTTTGAGTTGTAAAGTTAGGTTAATATAATCTTGCGCATGCGTATTACTTACTATATCATAACCAGCTAATTTATGCATTTCTCTATCGGTTACACTCAGTTGTAGATAATTGTGTGTTGTTTGTACACCAGCAATATAAGCGTTTTTAGCCACGGTTTTTA